TTTTTTTTTTTTTTTTCAGTTTCTTTCATCAGTGTATTTTAGTTTTCAGAGTATAGGCCTTTCACCTCCTTGGTTAAGTTATTCCTAGGTATTTGGTGGTTTTTTGGTGCAGTAGTAAATGGAATTGTTTTCTTAATTTCTTTTTGCTACTTTGTCTTTAGAGTATAGAAATGCAATCAGTTTCTGTGCAGTAATTTTTCATCCTGCAACTTTGCTGATTTCCTGTATTATTTCTGATAGTTTTTTGATGGAGACATCAGGGTTTTCTCCTTATAGTATCTTGTCATCTGCAAATAGTGGCAGTTTAGTTTTTTCCTTACCAGTTTGGATGCCTTTTATTTCTTTTTCTTGTCTGATTGCTGTGGCTAAGACTTTCAGTACTATGTTGAATAATAGTGGTGAGAGTGGACATCCTTGTCTTCTTCCTGATTTTAGAGGAAAAGCTCTGTTTTTCACCATTGGATATGATGTTAATTGTGGGTCTGTCATGTATGGCTTTTGTTATGTTGAGGTATGTTCTTTCAAAAGCCACTTTGTTGAGAATTTTTATCATAAATAGATGTTGAATTTTATCAGTGCTTTTTCTGTATCTGTTGAGATGTTCATAATGATTTTTATCCTTTGAGATCTTGCTAGATTTTGAATGACACTTCCATGCCTAAATCTATCCAGGCATTTTCTTCATGCTTAGAATGAAATCCAGACTTCTACCATGACCTAGATGACTTCACATCATCTGACCTTCTCACATGTGACTCTCTACTCATAAATTGTAGCCACCCTTGCCTTCTGTTTTTCTCATGTATCATGATACCTCTTGCCAACCTCCTTTGTGGTTTCTGAACCCTCTACTAGGCAATTTCTATTCCCTGATTTTCAGCCCTTGGTTCAAATTTTACCTTCTCAGTAAAAGCCCTTTCCTTCCAAGCAACCTAAAATTGTCCTCCTCACATTTATTTTTTGGACCTAACATTTGCTATTTCATTACCCTGTTTTACACACTTTGGTGCATTAACGAGCTGAAATTGCCTTGCTTTTTCTTGGTGGTGGTACCTAGGTCTAGGAGTACCTAGACCATGTAGTTAGGACAGATTGTTTTTCAGTCCTCTGGCTCAGTTATTTTAGGGGTGTTGTCATAAACACCAAATGAGTTAATGTATAGAGATTACTTAAAACAATGTCATGTGCACAGTAGCAATATATGTGTTACCTGCTGTTATTATTGGTATTATCATTATTATTGGTGTTACTGGTATTATTGTCATTATAATTATTATGTGAGTGGCTTGTCTGTCTTCTTTGCCTCTGTATTCTCAGTGCCAAAAATAATCCTTGAAGCATAGAAGGTGCTCACTTAATATTTGCTCAGTGAATTAAAATTATTTTGTATAAGGATATGTTTCTTATGTAAACTAAAACAGCCTAAATATTTCTGTATGAAATCTGTATCGTGTTGTTATATTTTACCACAGGAAGTAGTTGATTTTGATAGTGTCCATAATCCATTTGTCTTTTTTTAAGTATACTTTTTACTTGAGATTTTAAAGGGTGAGTTAATAACTGTTACGTGATGAAAGCGTATTTCGTATTTGAGAAATTGAAGCCATTATTGAAAGAAAAAGTGGTGTTAGTAATTTTAGGAAAGTGTAGGGTAAACATATTGGTTTGTAGGTCAAATATAGTATTTTGAATGAGAGAGTTTTCTTGTTAAACTTCATAATCTTTCATATTTTTCCCCAAATGAAATATATCCTGAATCTTCTCATCCCATATTGTGTACTAATTATAGCAGCATTAAATTTTTTTTTTTATTAGAATCAAGTCAGGCTAAAGATTGGCTTTCCCTGTGTGCTATACTTCACAGTACTTTTGCTAACAGTATGCAGTTTTCTGTTTTAAGGTATTGAGCTTCTCTTCATGCAATAAACTCCTTTTTTTTTTCTTTATTTGAGCTTCAAATGTCACTTCTTTTTTATCCCTCAGATGAGAAACCATCCAACTCTAGAGCCTAAGACTAGTTAATCTAAAATTACTGCTATTCTAAGTAGAAATATGTTTTAATATATGTCTGCAGTAGTTTAAAAGCCAAAGTACTAATCATTTTCATCAGGTTTGAAAGACAGTTTTATTTCTTAGAGTCACACATTTTCTGTATGCAGAATGAACATAGGCCCAGGTCCAGTTAGGCTGACGTCCATAATTTGACCCATACCGTTTTGGTAACAAATCCTCTCTTTTCACTATTCTTTAGTTATCAGACTCTTAAAAGAATAATAACAGGAAGATATAAAGATGCTGTACTAGCCAACTTGGGCTGTTATAACAAAATACCATAGACTCAGTAGCTTAAACTAAACAGACATTGATTTCTCACAGGTGTAGAGGCTGGGAAGTCCAAGGTCAACGTTTTGGCAGATTAGGTTCCTGGTGAGATGCTCACTTCATAGACAGCTATCTTCTCACTGTGTCATCACACTTCTCTTCCTTTGCTTATAAGGACACTAATCTCAAAATGGGAGCCCCACCCGTAGGACCTCATATAAGCCAATTATTCCCGAAGGACTTCACCTTCAAGTACTGTCACATCAGGGAATTGTATAAATTGGGGGGACACAAACATTCAGTCAATAACAGTTGCTTTTAAATTAAATAAACAGTTTTCTTAAATTTTTTTTCTTGAAGGCTAGGTAAGAAGAAAAATGCTGAAACCATAACTTGACAGCACATTGGTGCTCTGACCTTAATTTGGTAGGCTGATTATCCTAAGCTTGAACTGAAGTTTTTAAAAACCTCCATCCTTTCAACACCAAATTTGAATAGAAATGTGATTAGACTATATTGTGTTTTTTCAATGATAATATTATGAACTCTTTTGTATTTTTAAGTTCTGTGAACTAATCACCAAGGGGTATTGCAGACATTCTTGAAACAATTTTTAGTATGCTCCATAAATAAACTTAAAAGTAACCAAAATCTCAGTTCACTGAAGAGCCACATTTTTTATTTTATCAATTTAGATATTTCCAAATTGACTAGAACCTGATGAAATTGAAATTGGAAGGCACCAAACAAGAACCATTCTAATTCTCAATCTTGCAGTATTTTTCTATTGAGTAAGATGCATTTGAATGACCATTGATGATAGATGGTTTTCCAAATTTGGGTAAGACTCTGCAAGCATTTCTACTCATACCTATAAGTAAAAACATTTCTCTTAAGAGTTGGTTAAAGTATAGTGGTTTAGGACTTATTTTTTTATGAAGAGGAAATAATTTTTTATGAAAAGCCTGAAGGTTTAGTGGAATTGCTGGTAACAGGAATATTTAGGTGAATATGGTATTATAGTTAGCTGACTTTTTTAGTTATTAATCCAAAAGGTATTTTTGTTTACTTGTTTAAATCCTTGTTCTGCAAAATTCTTTCTAATATAGTGGATCACTTTCCTGAGTCAGCAACATGTATTTTATGTATTTGAAGCTTTTATTGATAAAAAGTCTGCTAAGGCATCATTGATAAATAGCATAGTTAAGGGCAGCAATTCTCAACGAGGGATGGTTTTCCCTCCCTGGGGACATTTGGCAATTTTTCATTGTTATGAATGGAGGTAAGATAAGAGGGAGATGGTACTGGCTTCCAATGGGTAGGAAGTCTGGGGTGCTGCTGACATCCTTTGATGTACAGGACTCCCCCGCCCCCACTACAAAGAATTACTGAATACAAAATGTCACTACTGCCAAGTATGAGAAGCTCTGGGTTAGGATTAATAATGATTTTGCCACTGTTGTGTATATTTAAAAAATATTTATCATAGGCACTGAATGTAATTCTAAAATACTTCGACTAGGACTCCAGAATGTTTTTGAACAAACATCTAGTCTTCAAAATGATTGTTTTGGGGAATATGATACTAATCTGGGTTATGTGGTGTCTGTTATTTTTTAGACCTTTCTTTTTAGTTATTGCACAAATGTATGTGTAGTCCAGCTTTCTATTACACACATATTTTGCATGTTCATTGTAGACAGGGCCTAGAACATAACAGATTGTAGGAGTAATTCAGATGTAGGAGTGATTCAGATGTGTGTGAGGTTATAAATTGTTTCTCTGGCAGCAGTGAAAGAAAATTGGAAGGGCGTAGGGGCACCTGGGTGGCTTAGTCGGTTAAGCGTCCGACTTTCGCTTAGGTCATGATCTCGCGGTTCGTGGGTTGGAGCCCTGCGTCGGGCTCTGTGCTGACTGCCAGCTCAGAGCCTGGAGCCTGTTTCAGTCTGTGGCTCCCTCTCTCTCTGACCCTCCCCTGCTCACGCTGTCTCTCTCTCTCTCTCCTAGAAATAAATAAAACATTAAAAAAAAAAATAAGCGCTTGTTACTATTAAAAAAAAAAAAGAAAATTGGAAGGGCATAGAAGAAGCCTTAGTTAAGCCAAGACTCATGAACTTAATCAGTGCTGGCTAAGAGTGAACACTGGTTATTTAAGATAAAGACAGTATGGATAAGTACGTCCTTTCCTTCACCGTAGCATTCTTTCCCCATCCTAAATGTCAACCCAGTCTGCATAGGCTAGGTTTGGCTTAGCTGGTGATAACTTTTCCCTTTCCCTGTGGCCTTGAATTACTGGCATTTTCACATCCACTTTCTATCTAGATCTTACTAGTGTGTTTTCTCTTCAGCTTTTTGTGGTTTCCTCCCTCCAAGTACCTACTCACACTGTCAGAGATGATCTCTGATCAAAGAGTGAATTCCATACGGTAAGTGAGGGTAGTATTCTCCCTACCTGTGCTCAGGGACAGTGTTACCTGGAAAAGGAAATATACCTTGGAGCCAAAGCTTGGGAGCAAGGCAGTGCGTATCTCATCTAGAACTGTTGCCTCGGGGTGACTTAAAATCAGATATTAAAAAATTAACATTCGTGTACAGCATTGTGAATTGAAATTTATCCTGGGATTTTGGTTCACACTTGTAGCTTTAACATTCAGGCTTTTTGTTGCTTTTCTTTACAGGTCTACTTCCCCTGTAGGACAGCATCATTCTCCTATATCCTCTAGACATCACTCATCTTCCTCACAGTCAGGATCATCTATTCAAAGACATTCTCCTTCTCCTCGTCGAAAAAGAACTCCTTCGCCATCTTATCAGAGGACAATAACTCCACCTTTACGACGCTCTGCTTCTCCTTACCCTTCACATTCTCTGTCTTCTCCTCAGAGAAAACAAAGTCCCCCAAGACATCGCTCTCCAATGCGAGAGAAAGGGAGGCATGACCATGAGCGAACTTCACAGTCTCATGATCGACGTCATGAAAGAAGGGAAGGTACGCACTGTACTTTATCTTGATTTTTTTTTTTAGTTTTTTAAGTATTTTCTTTATTAAAAAACTAGACATTCGGATTTGTTGTTGTAATAAGGGAAAGAAGAGAACTGTGTTAAGTCTTCTGTAACAGACGAGTTCTTGAGGGCAGTAGGAGGCACTTTAATGACATGGGAACACAAGCTATTAAATGCCACCTAAGTGGGCATTTTCATGTATTCTAAGGCATTGTTTGCTTTTTGCTTCAAGTGCTAGACGTGTTGGACTGTCTGATTCTTAGAGCATCCTTCTAATTGTTTAGTTGATCCTTTAAAAAAATAAAAAGTTAACGAAAGCAAAGCAGCAACCCAGGGAGTAGAGTTTGAAAGCATCAGACGTTATTCAGAAGGTTGGTGTAAACCGAGCGATCAAGTCTTTGGGTGTAACTCTAGAAAGAAATTAGCAAAGCTGTTTCCCTTTCTAGATCCCTGAGAATTAAGTTAACTTTGGATTTGCTGCTCCCTGTTCAGGCTGAGATGCTGTTCTGATCTGGCACTACATCTCTTTCTTTACTCCTTGTCCCAGCTTCTTGTCCTTTTTTAGTTAAAGTTTTTTCCTAACTTCTCCAGAGTTGGTGTTTGAATGTAATGAATACTCAGGAAATATTGCTTATTTGCAGCATTTCTGCTTAATATGCATTTTTAAAGTAAGCCTCTCCGTGAGTATAGTATAGCAGTATACTGTCAAAGTATAGTGTAGCAGTATGAAACATGTTGAATTTAGTTGTTCTCTATCAACAGCACAAGCAATAATCAAATTCTTTTATTCAAGAAAATGATGATATGTAGGTAGGGACCAGAGAGAACATCTGTTGTATAGAATTTTTTCTTGTGTACATGACTTTGGAACCAGATCAGCACAGCAGTATTTATGGAACATTGGTAAGATGGGAAAATTCTCTTAACACCTATGTATTAATTTTAATAAGATATTTAATTAGAGTTGACCAGGAGTATAGTATATATTTAATGACTACTTCTTGAATGAAAACTCTGTAGTGTGTTTAATAACTATGTTTTGAAATAATAATGAGGGGAAATAGTATGCATTTAAGTCTTATAGCAATGCTTTTTTTGCACTAAGAGTGGCTTATATTACAGGGAGAATCCATTTAATAACAAACCATATGTTTAGTTTCTTTGTAAGGAAGATGTTTCTTTAACCTTCCCCATAAGAGATGTAGCAGATGTTTTTTCCTCTGTTTTGATGTCATTTTCTGAAATAAAAATAATTGTAGTGAAAGAATGGAGAGGTAGATGACAAAATATAACAACTAGATGTATTTGTAAAGACAGATGGGGGAATTATAGAAAAAGGATCTGGTAGTGAGTGAACATATTTTTAGGCAGAGTTGTCATTGGAGGAGGACTTGAAGTCACAGGTGTGCACAAAAATGGATGGAGACCTATCAAATATTTGATGCTTGCCTGATGCTTCTGTTCTTAAATGGCATTTGTGGATATAAGCACATGGACAAAGTAACTGGCAGAAGAGATGAGTTATTAATGTGAGAATCTAGGGGTTCTTGTGGATACTAGATGTTGGGGTGCTTGAGAAAGTCTATAGACCTAGCTACTTGGGGCAAAGAGAAAAGAAGGTAAATTTAAAATATCTTGTAGGCATTGGAGCTGCTACACTTGCTAAAGTAATAGCCTCAGATCTTGAGGCAGTTGCACAGTGTCTAAGAGCAACATATAAAGGAAGCTGATTTAAAAACAAGACAGTGCGTTTTTTGAAGTTCTCTTGTTAATCCTTTGACGTCATACCAGATTTATGCTCTAATCAATTTATCCCTATTCCACGCATATCTAAGGTCCACGCATATCTAAGGAATGGCTTCTCTTCTTTGCACATTCTCTTTAGATAGGGGGTCACCTAAGCCATTTAGGCTCTGGGCCTTTTATTTTTTCATTTACACAGTGACAAGGTTGAAATAAATGATCAGTGAGTTTTGTTTCAACTTTTTAAAAACTGAAGTTCCTTTCTTATTTTTGTAGGCTAGAAAAATAGTATTTCTAGAAAATGCTTTAAGTAGAGAAAACTTTAGAGACAGGAGTGATCCCACTAAACAGTTCAAGAAAAGAGAGGGTTGAGTAACAGTATCTCTGCCAGCCACCTTACTAACTGTAGGCCAATGCTTAAGTGCCGTAAGTACGTTTGAGGCACTCATGGGTTGTCTAGTCTGGTGGAGGTAGTTAAAGTCACAGTGTGCCTCTGGATTTAAAAGTAGTTTCTAAAACATAAACCATCAGTGATATGCGATCAACTTACTTGTTTCAGTTGTTTAAGATCTATAAGTATGGGTAAGTTGGGACCCTGGAAAATCCTATTCAAAGTTTATCTAATCAAGGATAAAGTTATATCCAAGTGTTAATAAAATTACCTTTGGAATTTTAGCTTATATATGATTTTAATTTTCTTATTTGCCCATGTTTATGCAAAGAACATGAATTACTCTTTAAAAAATTGCTTAAACTCCAAATTATGTATCTTGTCTAGTTTCTCAAAATTTTGTGGAAGGAATTCTAGTTCATTCCCAAATTTGCCTTACAGAGACCAGAAGCAAAAGGGATAGAGAAAAGGACACAAGAGAAGAACGAGAGTATGAACAAGATCTGAGCTCTTCTAGAGACCACAGAGATGACCGAGAGCCTCGAGATGCTCGGGATCGAAGAGATGCCAGGGATACTAGAGACCGACGGGAACTGAGGGACTCCAGAGACATTCGGGACTCCAGGGAGATGAGAGATTATAGCAGAGATAACAAAGAGAGCCGTGATCCCAGAGATTCTCGGTCTGCTCGTGATACCCATGACTACAGGGACCGTGAAAGTCGAGACAGCCATCGAAAGGAGGATGCCTATCAGGAAGAATCCCGAAGTTACGGCAGAAACCATTTGAGAGAAGAAAGTTCTCGTACTGAAATAAGGAATGATGCCAGAAATGAGTCTCGAAGTGAAATTAGAAATGACCGGATGGGCAGAAGTAGGGGGAGAGGTCCAGAATTACCTGAAAAGGGTAAGGTTTTTGACTTGTCAATAAACTGTGTCTTGTATGTTTATATAGAAATTATTAAATCGTTTAAGTGTTCTAAATGTATTCTTTTTTACATTCATTATCATTTTGTCAAAGTAATTTTCAACTAATTGAATTTTGGCCTTCCCTATAAATTCCAAATAGGAATTGTTAAATTCCTAAAATTTAGGAATTTGCCCAAGTAGCAAAGGATAAATGGATCCTCATCCTAGATCCCCTGGTTGAATTATATCCAGTCATGCCTACCCTTTTGATTAGTGTGGAACACTAAGAAAATTGCTATCAGGCAAAAAAGTAGAATCAAAAGAAAATAATTTCTACTAAATAGGTACAGATATGACAAAATGATTATTAAAGTGGGATTAAAATGGTGCACTTTCAAAATTGGTGGTTATCAGAAATGACTGTGTATTCTGCAGTATACTTGTGCTTGCTTCAGACCACCTCAGATTATTCACATATCAGAATCTTGACCCATTTTTCTTCCCCTATAAAGCATTTGCCATCACCCAATAACTACCTACCTAAATGTATTTGTCTCCAAACTGCTTGGACTGAATTAGATTTGGCCTCTTTTCCTCTACTGTCTTCTTTGCCCTCCCCTAAAATGCTTCTGCAGAATTCTGAACAATCATTCTTTCTATTGGTCTTTTGGTCTGTCTTGTTCATTTCTCCAGCTTCACATTACGCTGAAGGCCCCTTCTTGGCTTTTCTTGGCCTTTTGCTTTTTCATAGACATGTTTTAAATGATTTGTTGTTTTAAAAAATTTCACAGAAAACTGTTGGATTTTTATTTCAAATGCATTAAATTTATGAATTTATAATTTTTTCCTGTTAAAGTCTTGTACAGGTTTTATTCCTGGGTACCCAGCATTTTTGGTGCTCCTTTCAATGGTACTTAAAAGTTTTCTGTTTTTAATAATGCATTCACATGACTCAAAATTTCAGAAGTACGAAAGGATATATAGTGAAAAACCTTTCTACTGTCCTTGACCTCATTCATTCTTTTGGCAATTTTGTCTATATCCTTCCCAGAAACATTTTACACAAGCAGATTTGTATGTGTATTCATATCCCCCTCTGGTTTTACAAACTTACTTTAAAAAAAAAAAACTATATATTGCTCTATATATTGCTGCTATTTTCACTTAAAAAATACCTTGGAGATCGTTCCACTTTAGTCAACTTGATAAACAACTAACCCTTTCTTTTGGGTGCATATTGTCTATTATAGGATATACTATAAAGATTTTTATAAGTTTTTATTTAAATTCCAGTTAGTTAACATACAGTATAATATTAGTTTCAGGTATACAGTATAGTGATTAGACACTTCCATACAACCCCAGCACTCATCACAACAAGTGTACTCCTTAATCCCCATCACCTATTTAACCCATCCCCTCACCCACCTCCCCTCTGGTAACCCATCAGTTCTCTATAGTTTGCTTTGCCTCACTATCTTTTCTTAATCTTTACTTATTTGTAAATTCCACATGAGTGTAGATATATAGTATTTGTCTTTCTCCGACTGACTTATTTCGCTTAGCATTATACTCTCTGACTCTATCCATGTCGTTGGAAATGGCAAGATTTCATTTTCTTTTTTATGGCTGAGTAATATTCCATTGTATATGTACATACCACATCTTCCTTACTCATTCATCAGTCAGTGGATGTTCGGCTGCTTCCATAATTTGGATATTATAAATAATGCTACTGTACATATAGAGGTGCGTATATCCCTCTGCAGTAGTATTTTTACATTCTTTGGGTAAATACCTAGTAGTGCCATTGCTGTATTGTAGGGTAGTTCCATTTTTAACCTTTTGAGGAACCTCCATACTCTTTTCCACAGTGGCTAGGCCAGTTTGTATTCCCACCAAAAGTGTAGGAGGGTTCCTCTTTCTCTACATCCTTGACAACACCTGTTGTTTCTTGTATTGTTGATTTTAGCCATTCTGACAGGTGTGAGGTTATATCTCATTGTAGTTTTGATTTGCCTTTCCTTGATGATGAATGATACTGAGCATATTTCAGGTACCTACTTGGGATTCTGGGTCTCCCCCTCACTCTTCCCACCCCTTCCCCTTCCCCATGCATGTGCATGCACATGCGTGCCCTCAAATAAATAAACATTTTAAAAATACTGAATTCTATATATATTGGGTCTTTTCCTGTACATACACACTGATGATAAAGTTTAATTTATAAATTAAGCATAGTAAGAAGTTAACAACTAATAACTCAATGACAGTAATATACTGCAATGAAAGTTATGTGAATGTGGGTTTTGAGGAATTTCTTATTGTATTGTGCTCACCCTTGTGATGATGTGAGATGATGTATGCCTGTGTGATGAGTCAAAGTGAGGTTACTGTTGACCTTCTGACCAGATGTCAGAAGGAGAATCACCTGCTTCTGGACCCCCATTGACCATGGGTTCCTGAAATTGCAGAAAGCGAAGTTGCAGATAAGGAAGACTACTGTAAATCCAATATTGATAGATGATTAGGTATTCCAGTCTTTTTTGTTTTTGAACAGTGCTTCAGTAAATAACTGTGTGTCACTAAATAATATCTTTTTAAAATATTTTTTAAACTCTGTCAGTGTAAGGAAATGATTGATATTCGTATATTAATCTTAACATTGTTACATTGCTGTATTCTCATAGTAGATCTAATTAGATTCTCTTAAACATTTTGTCTGAGAACAGACAGATTTGGCTCTTCTTTTCTGCTTATGTATTGTCAATAACCTGTTGAGCATCTTTTTCAATATAATAGTGAATATGAGTGGTATAATGGGCTTCTTAGCTCTGTTTCAGTTTTTAAAGTATTATTGTTGGCATTTCACCATTAAGCATGGTGTTTGTAGGTTTTTAGCAGGTGTTTTTTTTTTGTTTTTTTTTTATTGTGGTAAGGATGTCTCCTAATATTCCCAACTTTTATATCCTGGCATTTCTTTTTTTTTAATGTTTACTTATTTTGAGAGAGAGCAGGAGACAGCACTAGCACTTGTGTGTGGGGAGGGGCAGAGAAATAGGGAGAGAGAGAATCCCAAGCAGGCTCTGTGCTGTAAGCACAGAACCCACCGTGGGACTCGATCTCATAAACTGAACTGAGATCATGACCTGAGCTGAAGTTAAGCATCAGATACTCAACCAGCTGAGCCACTCAGGTGGTAAAAGGAATTTTTTCATTTTTTTTTTTAAGTTTTAGCATAGGTTTGTTAAAATTTAATGTTAGTTAAGCATCTGTGTTTTCAGCTGAGATTACATATAATTAGTGGCATGATGGTAAATATTAAACAATGAACTCATCAGAAAAAGTCCCTACTTTATACAATGGTATAAAATAGCAGATATTGAGCTAACAGCAGAAGAGATGTGCACAATTGGCTCTTTGAAGCCAGCGTAAACTGTTTCTAGCATACCACTGCATAGTTCATTTTTTGTGTTCTTGTTTGGTGTGGGAATCAAAGTTATACTTGACATATGAAATGTGTTGGGAAGTGTTGCTTTTTTTTTTTTTTCCTCTAGAACAATTTACATATGATTGGTTATGTATTCTNTTTTTTTTTTTTTTTTTTAATGGTTAGAGCTTTTATTACCTATGGAGTTTTGTGTAAGAGTTACAGATTTAAATTATTACAATAGTTATAGATTTGTTTTTTCTTAAAGCAGTATAGTAAGTTATATTTTTCTAAGACTTTTTAAAAATTTTTGATACAAAGATGTTCCAAAATTTCTTTTTTAAAATACCTATTATGACTATGTTTCCTTATCTTTCTTAGTTTTTCCAAAGTTTTTGGCTATTTTGAGTCTTTTCAAAAAACTAATCTTTTGTTTATATTCTTTTTTATCTCTTTTGGTCCATTAATTTCTAGTCTTGGGTTTTACTGTGTTATGAAATGTGTGGTAATTGTACCAGTAACCATTCTAAACACTATTTCTAAGTTTTAATATAATTACTTCTTTGACTCCTGAGTTACATGGAAAAAGGATTTAAAATTTTTAATCATACTTTTTAAAATAAATCCCCTTCCCTAATTTTAATTGTTGCCAGAACAGGCTTTGAAGTCAGCTCTTTGGTATTTGTATTTGTTAAGACTTAGCTGTGGTTCAGAAATTTTTATAAATGTTTTGCATGTGCTTTTAATTATTGGATGCAAAGGATGTCTCTGAGATCAAGCTTGTTAACCATGCTTTCAAATCTACATTTAATTCTTTTTAGGATGCCTTTTCTAACATTACAAAGAAGTGAGTTGAGTCTTCTACTGTCATTGTGAATTTGTTGGTTTTGTGTAATTTGATCAATTTTTGCTTTGAATATTTTAAGGCTTTGCTGTTAGGTACACATAAGACACATTATTCCTTTTATCATTGTAGAATGACCCTCTTTATCCCTAATAGTGCGTTTTGTCTTGGAGGTTATTTTACTAACATTTCTTTTGGTTAGTATTTGATAAGTATCTTTTTTCATCCTTTCAACCTTACTGTATCTTTTTGTTTTAAATGTGACTAAGCAGCATAGTTGAGATATATGTTGAATCTTCTTATTGTTATCATCTTTGATTCTTAAGTTTCACCTCTTTATCTCTCTTTTGTTTCCTGGGTTGTATCCTCAGACATATCTTTTTTTACTAATTATCTCTTAGCAGCATCCAAGCTGTCATTTAACTTATTGATTTTTAAATGTTATATGGGGCTCATCTCTAGTCTTTAAAAAATGTTTTAAATTTATTCTTTGTGGTCTTTAATTATTGAAGCAATCTATACATATATTTTTATCATTAAAATACATTGTTAACAGTATTTAGAATTATTCTGTAATTTTTTTGAGGGCTTAAAGTCTATTATGTATATTTGTGTAGCTGTATGTATTTTTTAAAAACCACTTTATTGAGATATGATTGACATACAAAAAGCAGCACATATTTAATGCATACAACTTGAGCTTGGAGGTAAATATATAATCATGAAACCATGATTACCATTTATGGCATAAACATATCTGTCACCTGCAGAAGTTTCCTCGGGCTCTCTATTATTTTGTATGTATGTGATGAGAACACTTAAGATCTACCCTCTTATCAAATTTTTGAGTTTCAGTACAGTATTATAAATCTGGGCACTATGCTTTCTGTAGATCTCTAGGACTTCTTCATCTTATACAACTGAAACTTTGTACCCTTGACTAATACCTTTATGTTTCCTTCTACCTCCAGCCTTGTCAGTTATCAGTCTCCTCTCTATATCTGAGAGTTTGACTATTTTAGATTCCACATATAAGTGGTATCATGTTGTATTTGTCATTCTGTGTGTGATTTATCTCAGTGTAATGTCCTTCAAGCTCATCTGTTATCTCATATGGCAGGATTTCTTTTTTTTTTTTTTTTTAAGTCTGAATAATATTCCATTATATGTATATACCACCTTTTTTTTTTTTTTTTTTTTTAAATCCATTTGTCAGGGGGCATTTCAGTTGCTTCCTTGTCTTGACTATTACGAGTAATGCTGTACTGAACTTGGGAGTGCAGGTATCTCTTCCAGATTCTGATTTCAATTCCATTGGGTATAGTCCCAGAAGTGGGATTACTGGATCATACGGTGGTTCTATTTACTTTTTTTGTGGACTCTTCATACTGTTTTCCAATAGTGGTTATGTAGCGTTATATTACCATTACTACAGTCAAGATACTCAACTGTGTATCACAGGACTCCCTGTATTACCCCTTTATAGCCACACTCAACTCCTCTCTTTTGTCCTTGACCCCTGGCAGCCAGTAATATGTCCTCCATCTAATAATTCTTATTTCACAAATATTACATAATGGAATCATGCTGTATGCTTCCTGTTGAGATTGGCTTTGTCACTCAGCATAATTTCCTTGAGGCTCATCCAAGTTGTTCCATATATCAGTAGTTTGTTCCTTGTAGTATTCCATAGTCTGGGTATACCACAGTTTTAACCATTCACCATTGAAAGACATTTGGGTACTTTCCAGGTCTGGACTTTTACTTTGGTTCTGTATGGAATGTTTTTGCTATAAACTGTAATCAAAGCAATAATATACATCTACTTTTTCATTATTTTCATGATATTTCTGTGAATTATATATGAATAGTTTTTATTTTTGTTTGGGGGAGATGGGGTTTGGGTTCACTGAAATAGTCTTCTTGCTCTATGATTCCATTATGACTTTTTTAATAGATAGTAAAAACTTGGACCTAGCTTACTCAAGCCCATCATTCGACCATTTGGGTGTTGTGATCCAACATTTAATATTCTTTTCAACAACAATTACCATACTTTGAAACACCAAAAAGGTAAAACAACAACAACCCCAAGACATCTTAACCTGTATGTTTTATTTGAGAAGAAAGATTGTGACTGATGAAACTTGTTGAATAAAGTGTATGTGTTTAAATATTTGTGTGAATATCCTTTGTTTAGGAAGTCGAGGCACAAGAGGTTCTCAAATTGATAGTCACAGTAGTAGTAGCAACTATCATGACAGCTGGGAAACTCGAAGTAGCTATCCTGAAAGAGACAGATACCCTGAAAGAGACAACAGAGATCAAGCAAGGGATTCTTCCTTTGAGAGAAGACATGGAGAGAGAGACCGTCGTGACAACAGAGAGAGAGGTTTGTCAAATGGCATATTATTTAATAATGGCCAACAGTGGTTGGGAGAATTGTTTTTCAAAACCTTTATCAATTTAACTTTTTAATATATCTCTTAAGACTTTTGCTTGTTGACACATTTGAAACTATTATATTTACTCATACTGTCTTCCTTGTTTACTTTGAGAGTATGTAAATAGCTGGCCACCAGAGTACCTGTTTGACAACAGAGTGGGTACTGAGGTGTAGTAAGTACTTGCATACTGCAGAAACAGAGGTGCCCTACTTTAGCTGTCTCGCCTTAACAAAATAGTTTATAACCCTTTAAAGAATGTAGATAGATGCTTGGGTGCCATTCTAGGCATTTCCAATTTAGGAGATACATAAACATTCTCACCCCAGTATCCTGGCCACTCACTCATTAGCTGTGATAATAAACAGAGTCTTGTAAGGCCTGTCAAAAGAACAAGGTGGGGAAAAGATGATGATAGGGCTGGAGGTTATTTGAAGAAACATTTTTTGCATGTTCCTTCTTCAGAATCTGTAATGCTTGTTTTAGCTAATTTTACATTCTTGTATATCTTAAGCTAAAAAATTTTTGGTTACTGTATTAGATTCTGCTCTATTAGATTTACTCTCTTAAATCAGTTTTGAAATAAGATTATGAGAAGTCATTTAAGAAGGGTTATAAGTACTTTCTTTAACAAGCTTTATTGTCCATATAAGGGCGTTTAAACTCTACAATCTTATGAAGGTCTTACTAACTTTGGTTACTAAACTAAGGTTTGCTATACTGCTGAGATTAATATAGTACAAAACTTGATGGGGTAGGAAATTGAATAATGATGCTTCATAGTGGGCTGAATCACAAAGGTAATAGTGTATGTTGATTTGGGCAGTGATGACAGAACAAAGTCACTAAGACACTGTGTACTTTGGGAATATAGATGAGATCAGACTTGGTTGAGTGGAGTTTGTTAGGGTAAGCCCTAATACATTTGGGTTATAAGATGTGTAGGGTTTCCTTAATTACAAATGAGGCTGGAGTTTATATTTTGTGTGTTGATATCTGAAATTATATCTTCTCTAATGCTGATTCACCTCTCTTTCACACTATGTCCTCATAGTGCTATGCTTTTTAATATCTCTTCTTCCCCTCCCCCTCAGTTTGATATTCGAGCTCAGAGGTTTTTCATCTTACTCCTGAATTCAGTAGTAACATTTGGTTTCAATCTTACATTTATTTCCCAACCATACATGTACTGAGTTTGCAGGAACTTTGATAGTTGCTTTATATATGTGTTCATTGACTTAATATCTTTTACAATATTAAGTCAGAGAATATATATAAAATATTCTTTAAAATTCTTTTATCTTTATAATATTCCTGTGAGTGGAGATATGATAAGAGACTTCATGTTTCATAACTTAGGGGATTTGGGCTAAGAGAAGGATAGTGATTTTCCACTGTTACAGAGATGTAAGTTTCAGAGCTGTAATTCAAACTCGTATCTTCTGATTGCAAGTCCTGTTCTCTTTATGTTTTACTTTACTATAACTTCTTCAATATATATCAGTTGTATGATTAAAATAGAACTGTATTTTTGAGGTTACTGATATATTCTACACTGTTTATTGAGAGCTCATGCACTTTTGCTAGGTTCTTCAAGTATAGTAGTTCTTGTGTTCGTCTTAATGGGAGGAAAGATACCTCCCCTAGAGAAATGACTGTTGACTGCAATCAAGGAAACAAAGAAGGGGCCTAGATAGAAATAAAGGATAAGAGAGGACCTACTTCAGATAGACTTTTTATGAAAAATTTGAGATGACATTTATGTCGAAGCATAAATGCAAGAGAAGCTGCATTGCAGAGGTTGAGGGTAAAAAATTCCATACCGAGGGAAGAGTATGTGCCAATTCACCAAGATGGAGAATAGTTTAATATGTCCTACAGTTTGAAAGAAGACCAGTGTGACCCGAGTATGATGAGCAGTAGGGAGATTGATAGAGGTTGAGGGTGGAGATATGTCCAGGCACCTTGTTCTGTGCTCAGGAGTTTCAATCTTCCCTTTAGTTCTTCATGGGCTGATTGAGCACAAATAGGCAGTTGAAGGGGGATGAATGCTTTAGCTATATGAAGTTTTGTGAGACAACAAAGGAGCAAACAGAGTTGTGAGGAAATCAAGAAAGCTTCCTAAAGAGTATGCTAGAAGGAACAGTGGAAGAAACACTTTGCAGGGAGAGGGCATAGTATGTGTAAACACGCAGGACCAAAAGAAACATGGTTTTGGAGCAGTAATGAATTCTGATGTTGGTGTAGAGGTGTATGCCATAATTGGTAGGGAAGGAAAGAAGCTAGTAGAAACAATTGATGAGAAACTCTGGGCCAAGTTCTAAATAGCCTAATAAATCAGGCTAAAATTTTTTAATAAATTGCCTTTTCACTGCCTGCAAGACTGTCATTTTTAAGCAGTTGGAACAGAGAGTTCCAACTGGGGAAAGATTGCAGACAAGGATACCAACCAGTTAGACAGACTGTTTGTTGATGACTTAGACACCTAAGAGGTGATCAGAGTTTGTGTTAATAACGTTAACTGTAGGGCTGCAGAGAGGAAATGGAATGAAGAAGTATTTTGAGAGTGAAATTAATGGGACTTGGATAACTCAAAGATTCCAGCTTTCATGAATGGGTATGTCATTCATTAAGATAAGGAAATCTGTGAAGAGAATCACATCTTTGATGAACACATTTTGGGGGAAAGATAGGAAAAATAGTTTAGATACATTAAAGTAAGTAGTGCTCTTTTATCCTTTCCATTTTCTTTGAAGTAAGGGCCATTGTCATTTGGTTGGAGAAAATAGAGTTTTTATCTGTCAGCGAAGAGTGCGTAAAATAGTCCGTTCCCTGACATTGCTATAATAGGAAATTTCAAGTTTGAATTACTACAAGTTGCAGTATTGAATTTCAGGTTGTTTTGTAATCATTGTGACATTAGTATGATCCCTAACTAAACCAAGAATTCAAACTGTCTTAAGACCATAAATATGTGGCATTTGGGGAATCAAAAGTGCACAGTAGAACCATTTTAACTTGGTTTCAGCAAAAGTGAAAAAGGGTTTAGGAGAACTGACTTCTACTCCTGATGTCCTAATAAATCTGCCATCTCTGTGACTTTGGCTAATCAACTTCTGCACCATAATTTCTTTGGTTTTAAGAAGCAAAGGGCTGGAGAAAGTTTTGTTTTGTTTTAGCTTTAAAATTCTGTGAACTTCTGTATTGGTCTGTAACCTCTAAAGAGCAAATATCCATAATTCTTGGGGTTTTTTAGTCTGTGTTAAGATAGGGTATTCAAATTACTATATTGAACCTTTCCCTGAAAATATCCTAAAATTATTCTGCTTAATAAGTTAATGTTAGATATTCCACTTGAAAACCTGTTGACCATACTGTAGTATGACCTTTATGACTAACCCATAGACATTATTACATAATATGAAAATAGAAATATCACAGTAGCCTAGACTACTATAATAAACTACTCTCAAAAATTGCTAGCTCTCAGGAAAAGTTACTGCCATTTTCTTACACATTTTTTGATCCCAGACTAATTTCCTGCCCAGCTTGGCATTTGGGCAGCATGTATTCATTTTCTCTGTGTTTATATGATTCATGTACTGGGGGAAAAATATGTATATATTTATTTATATATCCAATGTGATGAGACTATCAGTTAACATTTTTAAGAAAACAACTCTTCATCTGAGTGATCAGTTATATGATTAAATAAAACTTCTAGTATAAATATATATCACTAATACGAAACACTTTATATTAACTTCAAGATTGCTAAGCATCAGTACCCTTAATATTCTAGTTTATGATAAATTGATATTGCAGCAACAATTATTGACAGATGTTTTGTTCTATATTTTCCTCACATAATAGCTGCACTTTGATGTGTATATATTTTAGCCTGAAATTAGAGGTGTGACTTACGAGGGAAATTTTTTTTTTCCTTCAGCTCCTATGTTCTACACCTCCTGCTGCCCCTATCCTTTGCCACCAGTGTTCTCAGGTCCTGCTGGGGGGACAGAGAAGATCAGAGGTGAAGGGTAGAGATGGCAGAAAGTGGGGTTGGAGCAGTGGGCTGGAGGTAGGGTAGGGAGCATGCAGAGAAAGATCAAAGGCGGATCAGTGGGAGGCGGGAGGGGGGTTGATGGGGAGCAGAAAACATGTTAGTTAGAGGGCAAATAAAACTTACCTCTAAGAAAAAAATTATAAACATCTAGGGGTGATTATCTGGATGATTAACTTAAAAGTAAATATAACCTGATTTGTTGCCACTGTGACCCTGTACACAGATAAAATTTAAGATTTGCCATACTGTCTTAACCAATAGGTTATCTGTCAAATTAATCACTGACAAAACTTGATTTTCATTGTAGATCAAAGACCAAGTTCACCAATTCGACATCAGGGAAGGAATGACGAGCTTGAGCGTGATGAAAGAAGAGAGGAACGAAGAGTAGACAGAGTGGAGGATAGAAGAGATGAAAGGGCTAGAGAAAGAGACAGGGAGCGAGAGCGAGACCGAGAGCGCGAGAGGGAGAGGGAGCGTGAGCGGGATCGGGAAAGAGAGAAGGAGAGAGAATTGGAAAGAGAGCGTGCCAGGGAGCGGGAGAGAGAAAGAGAAAGAGAAAAAGAGAGGGACCGTGAAAGAGAGCGAGATCGTGACCATGATCGAGAGAGGGAGAGAGAGAGGGAGCGAGATAGGGAAAAAGAGCGGGAGCGAGAAAGAGAAGAGCGGGAGAGAGAGAGAGAACGAGAACGGGAGAGGGAGAGGGAGAGAGAGCGAGAGCGGGAACGAGAGAGAGCGAGAGAAAGAGAGAAAGAACGAGAGCGTCAGAGGGATTGGGAAGACAAAGACAAAGGACGAGATGACCGCAGAGAAAAGCGGGAAGATACCCGAGAAGACCGGAATCCCAGAGATGGACACGATGAGAGAAAGTCAAAGTAAGAATGGGAATGGATCCGATTTTTTAAAAATTACATTTCAGTAGAGTTCAGAACATTTCATTTTCATGAAATTTTCATTTTCTTTTTCCTCTCCACATTTTCCTGTATTTCGACGTTATTCTATATATTTGGTGTTTAAAGTCTTTTGAATTGTCTAGGAAGAAAAACACTTTCTCATTCTCTTTCTGTAGACATGGATATAATTAATCATTCTTGTTTTCTGTGCCATTTTTGATGGCATATTGGGTTGTTCAACTTCTGTAGACTTGTTTTTAGCAGGAATTCAACTTAAAAGTGATAAAATCAGTGAACCTATAGCTCATCAAACCCACTTTAAAACTAGTTAATGGAGTTGACCAGTCACCAAGAGATAGTGTCTGTGCCATTCCTGAGAATCCTTCATGAGTTTTATGTACTTACAAGTCTGGAGTCACTACCCCCAGGGATGGAAGCATTCATAGTAGTGTCTTAAAACTGAAGGAAGTCCTGCAGCCACTGCAGGGCTAGAAGATGAGAGATATGGACTTGTCCTCTCTTGAGCTAGGGAGTTATAGTAGATTATTGGGATCAAAAGATGTGTTCTCATTATCTCAAGTATCTGAGGATAGTGTCTTTTTTTCTTTCTTTTGTCCCCCCCCCCCCCCCCCCCCCCCCAATTGCTCAGGTATCTGGGAAGTCCATGGTTAGAGTTCATTTGTTCTTAAGTGACTATATTCAGACTTTGAAACAATGCATCAGGAATCCTGTGTGTCCATTTCTCCACTGTTTTCTTCTGTGAGTTCTTGTCCCTGAAAGGTTTTCTCCAGATGATGGCTAAGATGGCCTGAGGGTATGCCTGTCAGCTTCACAGCCCTGTCTATTGAGACTCTCACAATTGAGGAATAGACAAAGGGAGCTAAGTCACTGTAGCCGTGAGAATTTTGGACTTTGGTCAGTTTTGAGGTTTCATGGACATAAAACCAACCTTGTTGGAGTTAACTGCCTTTTTTTTTTTTTTTTTTAAATACCAACTAGGATGAAAGGTATGATTAAGTTTGCTAAAACAAACTGGGAATAATTTATATATTCAATTTCATTGCTCCTGCCTCTCGCTCATTTGAATTATGGTGAATACAGCTCCCTGCTTTAGGCTGTTTTTCATCATTGCTGTTGTAGATTATGATTATGGACAAAGCACAGAAGTGGAGGCTTCTTCTTTTAGGTCTTGGCTTCCCTTCAATCTGTAGCCAGGGTTTTCTGTAGTTCACACCCACTGGCTTCCCCTTCCCCGTTAATAAATAATCTTATATTAACATAATATTCAGATACTGCCTTTAACTCATGTAGGCACACAATACATATTTTCTCTTCTCTGACTTGTTTAAAGTCTCTAAAATTGAATTTGTGAAATCTTTGTTATTTATCTATTATGCAGTCCAGTCCTTCGATTTTATTTTCCCATGCTTCTGATCTCTGCTTACAGTAGCAAAAGTTTCTTCTGGTTTTTCATGGCTGGATAATCCAAACGTTGCAAGAACCCCAGAAACTTAGGAGTCAAACAGCTCTAAACAATAGCCATATGAGATGTTTTTATCAATTGTCATCTCAGTAGTTGAATTTATCCAGAACTTTTTTTTTAAGTACCCCCATTTTGTAGAAGGCTTTGTTTGCTGAATTGTCATACTATTTATTTTACTCTTAATGTTATTTCTATAGATATTTTCCTAGAAGTTAAAGTTCTTTTTTGTATATTTTAATTCACTTTATTTTGGTATGCCAGTTATCCTTCGTGTGTATCAAACCACACAAAAATTTGGTAGTTTAAAACAAGATCCAGTTCTCTGCTCCTCATTCTGTGGATTAGCACTTTGGTCAGGGCTCAGCAGAACAGTTCTGCTGCTTTTACTCGGGATCACTCATGTTTCCACAGGCAGTCTGGCAGTTCATCTGGGTCTGGATGACCCCAAATGGCCTCACTCTCATGTCTGGCATTTGGTGCTGGCTGTTGTTTAGGGCATCTCACTTCTCCTCCACATGACCTTTCATCCTCCAATAGTCTGAACTCTCCATATAATGATAGAAACCTGCCAAGAGGTCAAAGGCAGAAGCTTCAGTGCTTCTTGAGTCCTGACTTTCCAAACACACTCTGTCACTGTCACCACATCCTCTTGTCATAGCAAGACAGCGGGACAGAATGGGGGAATAGATGGCCTGATGATGGTAGGTACTTTGGATAGGGAACTGTACAAACTTGAGCCTATAAATTGTCACACTAATCTTTTTTTCCCCCCAAACCCTGATTACTCATCTATGTAAAGGAGCTGTCAGGGAGATGTGTGTGCTGCAGTATGTTTTGCAACTTCTGACCATGGTATTTGTCAACTGTTGTTTTTTTTTTTTAAGTCAAAATTTAATGACAATGTAGGAAAACACTAGAATAATTTAAGGACCAGAGATATAAATCACTAGTCATTTAATGTTTAACTTAAAGAATAAGAAGTATAGTGAACATTGTAATTATTACTTTGCCACCAAGCAAGTGATTTAGTTTGTTTGTTTTTTTTTTTATGTTTTTATTTATTTCTGAGAGAGAGAGAGAGAGCGTGAACAGGGAGGGTCAGAGAGAGAGGGAGACACAGAATCTGAAACAGGCTCCAGGCTCTGAGCTGGCTTTCAGCACAGAGCCCGATGCAGGGCTCGAACCCACGAACTGTGAGATCATGACCGAGCCAAAGTTGGACACTTAACCAACTGAGCCACCCATGTGCCCCGCAAGTGATTTAGTTCTAAAAAGAGGGCAGGAACCAAGTTTTACAGTGTACTCACTGGGCTTATGATAAAGCTAATTTATTCCTAATTGCAACTTTAGGAGATTGACCCTGGCCCCCCCCCCCCCCCATTTTCAAATGAGAAAGCTAAGGTTCAGTGACTTCAAGAACTTATCTAAAGTTACATAATAGGTAACATGGCTATAAGTTGAATTCCTACCTTTTTTACTCCAAAGCAGACGCTAATTTTCTGATTGGGCTTCCCAGCGTAAAGTATTTCTTCACCATAAAATATAAAAATAATGAGTAAGTTTTAGTAGAGGGTACATTAATATATTAATTCTTCTGTTATATGTTACCACATTGCAACGATTAGATCTGGTGATTTGATGAAGAAAGACCTGTTGCTGTGTGTTTTAAGTCACTATTGTACGTCTTAACAAATGAAGAGTTTTATTAAAGATGCTGAATACCTTTTGTATGATGTAGCTCTGACAGTATTGCTCTCTTACAATTATATTTTCTATTTATAGTAAAGAAATACTGAAAACTAGTAAAGAAATCTCTTTTTCATCCTCTGGAATTTTATAAATTATATTTGTCCAATTTAGGAAGCGCTATAGAAATGAAGGGAGTCCTAGCCCTCGTCAGTCACCTAAGCGCCGGCGAGAACATTCTCCCGACAGTGACACCTACAACAGTGGAGATGATAAAAGTAAGCAGAGTGTGTTGTCTGTGTTTCTGTGTCCACATTCCTTTATAACCATGAGACCATTCTTTGACATTATTAGGAAATGATGAAGTGAGATTTAAAACTTTTCTGGCTCTGCTGCCTCTGAATATCTCGTGTGACTGAAATATACATTAGGAATACAGTTACTTTACCTTACTGGCATGGTCATCTCCTATCTGTATAAAATCCATATTTTTAGTGAAATTATTGCCATTTTTAAAGTTTTAAAATGAAAAGAGAGAGGTTGGGTTATTACTATTTCTGTGTAACATGAAACATTGTTTACCTGGTGAAAGTGTGATTGCTTTCATCTTTTTGTGTAGATGAAAAACATAGACTCTTGAGCCAGGTTGTACGACCTCAAGAGTCTCGTTCTCTCAGTCCATCACACCTTCCAGAAGACAGGCAGGGTAGATGGAAAGAGGAAGATCGTAAACTGGAAAGAAAAGAGAGTTCAAGGCGCTATGAAGAGCAGGAGCTCAAAGAGAAAGTTTCTTCTGTAGATAAACAGAGAGAACAGACAGAAATCCCAGAAAGCTCAAGAACTCGTGGGCAAGACATGATAGGACACCACCTGTCTGATGAGCGAGACACATCCGATCGAGCTCATGAAGAGAACAAGAAAAAAGCAAAAATTCAGAAGAAACCTGTTAAGAAAAAGAAAGAGGATGATGTAGTGATAGAGAGGGGTAACACAGAGACAGTGTCTGAAGATACTCAAGTATTTTCACCGAAAAAAGGACAGAAGAAGAAAAGTATGGAAAAGAAACGTAAGAAATCCAAAGGCGATTCTGATATTTCTGATGAAGAAGCAGTCCTGCAGAGTAAGAAGAAGAGAGGCCCGCGAACTCCCCCTTTGACAGCCAAAGAAGAATTGGTTGAAATGACCAATGGTAAGGATGGCCATCTAGAGGATTCTCAGAAAAAAGAAGATACGGCGTTCAGTGACTGGTCTGACGAGGACGTGCCTGACCGTGCAGAGGTGGCGGAAGCGGAGCATTCTGCCACCACTGCCACTCCTGGAAGGACTCCTTCTCCGTCCTCTCTTCCTCCCCCTCCTCCTCCAGCGGCTACTGCTTCTACGTCCACCCCCGCTACTCTTGCCACTTCTGCCTCCGCCACCAGCATTTCCTCTGCCACCCCAACCAATAGCACCAATGAAGACTCGCACAGGAAGTGCCATAGAACACGTGCGGAGAAAGTGGAGGCGCCTCACGTTACCATAGAAGAGGCGCCACATCGCAAGCCGGTGGATCAGAAGAGGAGTAGCAGCCTCGGGAGCAATCGCAGTAATCGGAGTCACACATCTGGTCGTCTCCGCTCGCCATCCACTGATTCTGCCCATCGGAGTGGAGATGACCAGAGTGGTCGAAAGAGAGTACTACATAGTGGCTCAAGAGATAGAGAGAAAACAAAAAGTCTGGAGATCACAGGAGAGAGGAAATCTAGAATTGATCAGTTAAAGCGTGGAGAACCCAGTCGAAGTACTTCTTCAGGTAATAAAATTGAATTCTAATCTAGCCAGTGCTTCCTGTTTTATATATTTTATACAAATTAGAATTTTAAAGTAAATGCTAAAGTGGTTACATTATATACTGCCTTAAATTTTAAGGAACTTAAAAACTTAACCATGCTACCAAAATGTTACTTGTTATGACGTTAACACTATTATAATAACATTGAGTGATGCCATCAGTTTCAAATCAGGATGTTAGTAGTATATCTTGGTGGAAGGGCTTATGTTGTATTCAAGTCCCTTACTGACGCTTACAATTTTAACCTTCCTGCTCTTCCTGCAGCCAGTGCTTTTTCTTTTGACCACAGAAAATACGGTAGGGGATAGGAAGAGATTAGATAATGAAATGATCAGTTCTCTTAATGCTTATCCATTTTATGTATGCGTTTCTTGGAAGATCTTTTGTGGCTATAGAGGAAAATTACTTGTTTCCTTGCCTTTTACATATTTTAATTAGCACTTTAATTGAGAGATCAATTTTTCCTTAAAATGAGTTCCTTGAATAATTGGGAATATGGAAATACCAAGTGTAAGTTTTAAAGGACCCTAAAATGAAGCATTTTTTTCTTTCCCTTTTCCTTCCTTCCTTCCTCTCTCTCTCTCTCTCTTCTTTTCCTTCGATTAAAGTATAGTTGACATACAGTGTTATATTAGTTTCAGGTGTATAGCACAGTGATTTGATACAAGTTTAACAACAATGAAGCATTTTATTTCTTACCTTGTGTTAACTCTTTGTATATTTATTTTAGATCGCCAGGATTCAAGGAGCCATAGTTCAAGAAGAAGTTCTCCTGAGTCGGATCGACAGGTCCATTCAAGATCCGGGTCGTTTGATAGCAGAGATAGGCTTCAAGAACGTGATCGATATGAGCATGATAGAGACCGGGACAGAGAGAGGAGAGACACAAGACAGAGAGAATGGGACCGAGATGCCGATAAAGATTGGCCACGGAACAGGGACCGAGATAGATTGCGGGAACGAGAGAGAGAACGAGACAAAAGGAGAGATTTGGACAGGGAAAGAGAGAGACTCATTTCTGATTGTATGGAAAGGGACAGGGACAGAGACAGAGACAGAACTTTTGAGAGTTCTTCTCAAATAGAGTCTGTAAAACGCAGTGAAGCAAAACTGGAGAGTGAACATGAAAGAGACCTAGAAGGCACTTCCCGAGACTCTCTTGCTTTGGATAAAGAAAAAATGGATAAAGATCTAGGATCCATGCAGGGATTTGAAGATCTGAACAAAGCTGAGAGAACTGAGAGTTTGGAAGGTGAGTGCCTTGTTGTCTGTTATCCTGCTCCATTCCTTTTCAAATTTCATAGGAAATATTCTCTTGTGAAGGTGTTCTGATATGCATAAGGAAAAGCCCTATGATATTTCAAAATTGTGGTCCTCTCATGGTAGACTTGCTTCAAATTAGCCCAAATGAAATAAAAGATAGTTGGATGCAATAAAAAAGTTCTTTTCTTAGATATTAAAAAAAGTCATAAAAATGGAAGTTATTTCTTGATTCAGAGACAGATTCAAATAACTCTCAGTAATCCTGTTTTCTGGAGCAGTTGAGAAAATACACAAAACAATTAACATTCCCTGAAAATGCGTTTCCACTTTGGCCTACTCAGAGCCAGCCTCAGCTGTGGGGAACATCATTCTCCACTGCCTCTACTCTTCTTTTCACTCCCAGTCGAGTACATGCCTCTGAATTCTCTCAATGCACTGCACTCCAGCCGCCTTTGTACTGCCTCTTCACATCACCTGGTAGATGTTTGCCCTCTTATCTTCTCTTACTCAGACTTCATTTCCTAGTCTGTATCATTTCCTCTGTGAGGCCTTCTCTGCTAACCATACTTATTCAGGTTGCCATACACGTTGTCTATATATCTTTTATAGCATCTCCACACTGTATGACAATTATTTTTCCTTGGTTTTCTCCCCACTATACTGTACTACTTTGTTAGGGACCATCGCTTTTCATTTCTTTAACATCAGGACTATAGCAAGGATGCAGTAAATGGTTGATGAATGAAAATATATTCTGCCTGTGCATGTATACCTCACATCTTACTCTTTGGTGAATTATATAAGCTAGCTTAACAATAGTAATGACTCCCCTGAAAATTGTCATGGAAATTCTGCCTCTTTGGGCTTGTCCAGTTTTGATACCAGTGCTTAACACCATTGTTCTGATATCGAGCCCTCAAGAAACTTGTAGGATACTTGTATATAAGCAGCAGTTATTCTACTGTTCTTTTTATGTGTTGTAATACAACATTGGGCCTAGGGTAAAAGTTGTATTCTTTTGAAACTATAAACATCTTTACCATCTCTTGGTTATCTAATTAGATAATATTCCAATATGCCATCAGTTATATTTTTCTACTTGACAAAAACATTTCTATCTCAGTGTTTCTTCACATTATGTTTTCATCTCAATTGTGAGTATAAATAGCCTCAAATACTAATAGAGTCATAATACTAATGGAGGTATAACCTTGGAGTAAAATTGAATATAATTGAACTAATCATAGTAACTCTCTTGTGATTGGAGTCAGTGCCCCTCATCCCTAAAATATATCCTTCACTGGTTGTGATCACACCTAACATAGCATAGAAATTTATGGGTGAATTACCTATGGGCGAGATGAAAAATTTTATTCACCTCAAGTAGGAAAATGAGTAGGATAAACTTGAAAAAATACAAATCATATATCTGCTTTGATATTTAGATGTATATTTATGTAATGAAGTCATTAAAGTTGATTACATTAGAAGTGAATTGGTGGAAGTATAGGGAGATTATTATAGAACGGAATAGAACAGAAAATTATAGAATGACCAGAAACATCTTATAGTTTATTATATTTTATTTGCTGCAAATTTATACCTGTAAAGCATCCTGTTGCATTTTGCTAACCTAGTGTTGTAAACTCAGTAAAGTGTGGGGATAACTGGTGATTAGAAATACTAAACATACTCTCTAGTTTTAGGGGTACTTTTCAGTTCACAACTCCTCAGGTGACAAAGCCTAACCTAAGTAGTTGAGATAGAGTGCTAAGATAAAATATATGATAGTGGGTACAGTACTCACAAAATATTTTTAAATTTATTACTACAACATTTTTAAAATAGTGTTGGGATAGGTAAGACAAATTGGGAGGTAGAGAGACAATCAGTGGCACTTTTATATTTTTACCTCACTGCTGCAGAGCTCTTCATATCATGAGCTAAGTATTATGAACTAAGATTTAATTTCAAGTAAATGTTGTTAATAAGTTTATAAGTCTTAAATTAATGAGTTTATTTAAAGAAATTACAGCATCCTTTTGAAGTTAGTAAATTTGGATTTACTTAGTTTTATTATAAAAAAATTAACACAAGCAATATTATTAAGTGAGTGGTACCTTTTGTTTGTCATATTTTAATGGTAATCTTATAACTTCTTTCGGTATTGCTATTTATACAGTGTTCTTGCCTTTAAATTTTAATTTTTTCTTTTGGAGTTATCAAGTATTTTAAATAATTAAGAAATGTAGTCTTCTAAGGAAAAAAATACTTTTTAAATATTTTAGTGTGCACAGCCTCTTCCTCTTTGGTTTCACTTAAACGTCCCTCTGGTGTGCCCTTTGACATGAAAGTAATCTTTCCAAAGTAGGAGATGACGAATCCAAGTTAGATGACGCACATTCATTAGGATCAGGTGCTGGAGAAGGATATGAGCCAATCAGTGACGATGAACTGGATGAAATTCTAGCAGGTGATGCCGAAAAGAGGGAAGACCAACAGGATGAGGAGAAGATGCCAGGTAATCATTTACAAAGGTGGTTGAACATAAAAATTATCTGATTTATAGTGTTAAGGTATTTTTGCTCCCTTTCATACTCTGCTAATAAATGAAAGGCGGTTAGAATTTTTCTCTTTGTTTTGAGACTGAAAGGCCAATACAATGAAAATTATAGTGTGTATGCTCTGTATACTTTTAAGTTGACATTGCCTGTGAATTGGACAGGGTCCCATTTAAAATAATAACATACTAAGATTTCCATTCCAGAGGTCGAAATCCATATTATATGATTTGGAATCTAGCCAAATACTAGTTGCCTAGCAATGTTCTGTAGATGTATGGTACAGAGCTTCACAGTCGAGGTGCCACAAGCCAACTTCTGAAACGGTCATTCAAAATTTGTAATTGTTGAAATTATATTTAAGCAATATCTGTATACCTCTATCAGTTTTGTGAATTCAGTCATTATTTTCCCTCCTCATACTGCACGTGTTGCCAGAGCTTATTCTTGTGACCATAACATGCAGTAACACCTATTGATGGTCCTTCAAATCATCCAAGTTAGTCTGATTGTTTTAATTTTTTTGATCTCCTCTTGAGATCAGGACCTGGGCTAAAATCAAGAGTTGGATGCTTAACCAACTGTGCTACCTAGGCACCCCGTTAGAATTTTTTTTTAATTACAGTGAGGGTTTTGGCTTTGTCAGGGTATATAAAATATTAAAATTTTATTTTGACTTAATTTGTTTCTGTATTTCAGTTTTTCTACTAATATAGAAGGCATGTATGATCTTTTTTATTATATGCCATTAGTTACTTCTAAATAGAACATTACTGTTAATTTTTCCAGTTCCTTATCAGTGGATGGATTATTTATTTGCAGTATTAATAGCCACTGCCTCAGTTATTTGTAGGAACATGCTTGGGTTTTTGTTTGCTTGCCTGTTTTCTTTATCGTAAAGGTCCTTAGATTCTAAATATTAGTCTTTATAGTACAGCTTTCATGTTAAGACTATGTTATTTTTCATTTATTTAAAAAAAAATTTTTTTTAATGTTTTATTTATTTCTGAGAGAGAGGGAGACACAGAATCCGAAGCAGGCTCTGAACTAGCTGTCGGCACAGAGCCTGATGCGGGGCTTGAACCCACGCACTGCAAGATCATGACCTGAACCGAAGACGGGCGCTTAACCGACTGAGCCACCTAGGCGCCTCTGTTATTTTTTCACTTAAAACACTTGTTATTTAATGCTTTCTATGTTTTGCAGTTTCTGTTTCTCAAAAGATAACAAGAATGCTATTTCTTAGTGTAAAAACAAAATCCCATTTTTAACTTTTTACAGATCCATTAGATGTGATAGATGTGGATTGGTCTGGTCTTATGCCAAAGCATCCAAAAGAACCACGGGAGCCAGGGGCTGCCCTTTTAAAATTCACACCTGGAGCTGTTATGCTGAGAGTTGGGATTTCTAAAAAGTTGGCAGGTTCTGAACTCTTCACCAAAGTCAAAGAAACATGTCAGAGACTTTTAGAAAAACCCAAAGGTAATTCCATTCTACTTTGTGTAATGTCTGCTGCAGCTTACTTAAGATGCCTTTGAAAAGTGTTCTGCTTTGTTTTCATGTAGCACTCCAAATATAGGAACTTTTTTTTTTTTTTGAGGAATCACTTGATATTCAGTAAAAATCTTCTTCAAAAATTTAAAAAGGTATTTTGACCATGAAAATAAAAGCCCACAGAAAAGTTGCAAGAATAGCACAGTGATCTTTCTTAACAGGGAAGTTCAAATGTCAGAGTTCTCAGTGGTGTTCCCGAACTAAACAAAGCAGAGCCTAAACAGATTGGATGCCACGGTATAAGATTGTTAGGAGCAGCAAATGAGGTATTATAAGTAAGATACTTAGAACGATTCCTGACATGTAGTGACAAATGGGGGGCGGGGGGGTGACTGGGGTGGTTAAAAAGGAAAAGAGATAAAATGTGAAAGCAACAATATTTAATTTTATATCATGTTTGTGAGAGTAAAGGTTTAAAAATTAAGCTTTTTACTAATATAAAATTGAAAAAAAAGTTAATGTTTATTTTTGAGAGAGAGAGAGAGAGCATGTGAGCAAGCAGGGGAGGGGGAGAGAGATTCCCAAGCAGGCTCTGTCACAACAGAGTGCAACATGGGCTGAACTCACCAACTGTGAGATCATTACCTGAGCTGAAGTCACCAGTTGGGTGCTTAACTGACTGAACCACTAGGCTCCCTGAAAAAAATGTTTTATTAGTTTTGTGTGTTTTCTTTCAGCTGTTAGCATATACAGTAAAATTCTTGATTTTAACATGTCCCAGTAAACAAAATGAAACATACACATGAAACATATAAATTATAATTGTGCATATGTATTAACGTGACAAATGGCTAAGCTCTTAGGTTCCTGCCCCATTCTTTCTACTTGTTTGGTTGGCTCTGTGACCTTAAGCAGGTAACTCCTGTGGATACAACATGATGGAACGAAAGCCATAATGTCTTAACCCACCTCTAATGAAATTTGCTCCCTTGACTTTGCTAACTATGAAATACAGTTTGGCCGTGACCTGATGACATATGTTGTAAAGGGGAGTTAATTTTTGCTAACCAGTCTGGACCTCTCCTCATTTCTGCTATGATAACTTTATTAAAGAACAAGAGAACTGATACAGGATGTTGAATAGAAGTTTCCAAAGCAGCGGGACTTTGTTTACTGATGTATCCAATGTCTAATGACCTGTTCTTACTGCTTATGCTATTATCTAGAACAGTATCTGACACACAGTTTCAATAAGTATTTGTAAAATAATCGGTACTGATTTTTTCTGTCCCGTTTAGTCTATTACATTGTCCCAATACTGAAGAAAGTATATCCCTACCCCATTTGTAATTAAAAAAAAAAAAAAAAAATTCTAAGCTTGAACACTGAAAACTTTATAAGTATACAGAAATTTAAATTGCCTTTGCCTTAGTTTTCTGTATGTAGTGTGATAGATTAAAAACAAACAAGTACCGGGGCACCCGTGTGCCTCAGTCAGTAGAACCTGCAACTCTTGATCTCATGGTGGTGAGTTCGAGCTCCATGTGGGGCATAGAGATTACTTAAGAATGATAAAGTACAAATAAAACAGTCTCTTGAATAATTTTGTGGTATTCATTTCAAAACCATGAAGAGACTTGAAGTTTGGCTGTACTATACTTTCTAGGGAGGGGTGTTTTTGTGTTCTGTTGTAAAAGAAACTAAATTTGTCATAATGACCATTGTTCAAGGAAAAAGCACATTTTTTCTTTGTATCTATAGTGGAATGGTAGTTAATATTTTGGGGGGCCTTTAGCTTCTTTTAATGCTGTGCGTATGTGACTGTGCCATTGATTGCGTAGTTATATCTGAATCACCTAAGGAACTGCTTTTTTCCACATAGATCTCCTGGTCCAACTGTGGAGATTCTGTAGAATGTGGTGGTAGAACCCTGGCATTGTATTATAGAAAGCTCCTTAGATGATTCTAATAGACACTGAAGTTTACAAACTAGTTTTGAGGATTTTTTTTATATTTATTTATGCTTGTCTTATATTCTGTACCTTTTGACAGGTGTATAACCTATTGACCAGATGTATTACATGAGACTAGTTTCTTATCATCTAATCTCACTGTTGCTTTGCAGTTCAGGATATGAAAGTGAAATATGTAGTTCCATTCATTCTTAAATGTGTTTGTTGTGTTTTTACTAGGTGTTATTTACTATTTTCCTTTGTGGATTCTAACAGTAACCTGTTTGATCATGTTGTCATAGAAGCAGTATCTGGTGGCTTTTGTTACTTCTGTCTAGCATGTAGAATGCTAGCTTTAAAGTTAACTAGATCTTTAGAGTACCAACTGGCCCTGTTGTCTGTTTAACCCACCTCTTTTATTTTCCATTAAACTTTAGAAGAATTAAGAAGAGATTTAAGTGTTTTCTCCCTACTACGCTTGCATGTTATAACTTAAAACTAAGTGATTTTCATTTAATACATTGTTTTTATAGTGACCAAATCTGGGATAAATTTTGCTGGTTGTCAAACACCTCACCTAATCACTTTCCTTATTTTTTTTTTTTTAATAGTTTCTTTTTTTTTTTTTTTAATTTAATTTTATTTTTTTTTTTACAAATAGTTTATTGTCAAATTAGTTTCTACATAACACTCAGTGCTCATCCCCAAAGTGCCCTCCTTCATGCCCATCCCCCCCTCCCCCCCACATCCATCAGTCCTCAGTTTTTGTCAGCATTCAAGAGTCTCTCATGGTTTGCCTCTCTCCCTTTCCCCCACCATTTCCGCCCTTCTTCTCCCCCTTGGTCCTCCGTCAAGTTCCTCCTAATCCTCCTATACGTGCAAACATATGGTATTTGTCCTTCTCTGCCTGACTTATTTCGCTCAGCATAACACCCTCAAGGTCCATCCATGTTGCTACACATGGCCAGATTTCATTGTTTCTCATTGCCATGTAGTATTCCATGGTATAGATAAACCACATCTTCTTGTTTTTTAAGAGGTCACAAAAGGTAGTCTTGTTACTGCATTTATAATCAATTCCTGAAATCTATTCTAGGACTTTATGTAATAGTTGATGGTAAACAATATACTGAATTTGATTTCACTAATTCTAACTTCAGCTTTTCTTCCCAGTAATAGACAGTAATCAGTGTCTAAATTCTTTCCACCTAGGCTGCTTGTCTTACGTCTTAAAGTAGGGTTATCTAAATGTTTACTTTTGTTTGCGATTAGCAACATAACTACATGTGCAAGATCTTTCACAGAGAACATATTGGCTTTTAAAATTATTCATTGAAGTATGGTTGGCACATAGTGTTAACATTAGTGTCAGTTGTACAGCATAGTGAGTCACCAACTCTGGTTACGCTCTGCTCACCCTATGTGTAGCTGCCATCTGTCACCATACACTATTACAGTACCCTTCCCTATATACCTGTATTCCCTGTGCTGTACCTTTCAACCCTGTGGTTTATTTATTGCATAACTGGAATGTACCTTTTACCTCCTGCTACCTTTTGCCCATTTTACTCCTCCCCCACCCTTCTCGCACCTGGAAACCTTCAGTTTGTTCTCTGTATTAATTTGTCTGTTTGTGCTTTTGCTTTTTAGGTTGCACATTATAGCTTGATATCCGGGATTGTGATCCCTCTTAACATTGTTCTTTTTTCCCCCAAGATTGCTTTGGCTGTTTGGGGTCTTGTGTGGTTCCATACAAATTTTAAGATTGTTTATTTAGTTTTGTGAACACTATTGGTATTTGGATAGCAATTGCATTGAATCTATAGCGTGCTTTGGGTAGTATGGACACTTTAACACTATTCTTCCAGTCCATGATCATGGTCTTTGCATTTATTTGTATCTTCAGTTTCTTCCATCAGTGTTTTATAATTTTCAGAGTAGAGGTCTTTCACCTCCGTGGTTCAGCTTATTCCTAGGTATTTTATTATTTTGGGTGCAGTTTTAAGCAGCATTGTCTTAATTTCTTTCTGCTACTTCGTTATTAGAGTATAGAAACACAACGATTACTGGATATTAACTTTGTATCCTTTACTGAACTAACTTTACTGAATTCATTTATTACCTCTGGTAGTTCCTTGGTGGAGTCTTTAGAGTTTTCTATATATTGTATCATGTCATCTGCAAACAATGACAGTTTTATTACTTTCTACCAGTTTGGATGCCTTTTATTTCTTGTCTGAGGAGATACCCTTATCTTGTTCCTGATCCTAGAGGAAAAGCTCTCAGTTTTTCACCATTGACTAGGATGTTAGCTAGGTGTTTCTCATATATGGCCTTTTTAATGTTAGGGTAGTGTTCCCCTTAAACCCACTTTGTTGAGTTTTTATCATGAGCAGCTGTTCAGTTTTCTCAAATGGTTTTTCCTCACCAATGAGGTAATATGATTTTTATCCTTAGTTTTGTTAATGTGGTATATCATAGTGATTGATTTGCATATTGAACTATCTTGCATCTCTGGAATTAACCCCTCTCGATTGTAGTGAATGGTCCTTTTAACGTATTGTTGAATGTCGTTTCCTGATATTTTGTTGAGGAATATATTCAACAATTTGACTTTTACATCTGTATTCATCAGAAATATCAGCCTATGGTTTTGTGGTGTCTTTGTCTGGTTCTGATATCCGGGTAATGCTAGCCTCAGAATATGTGTGGAAACTTCCCTTCCTTTTGGGGGGGAATAGTTTGAGTTGACTAGGTATTAAATTATTAACAAGTATTTGATAGAATTCACAGGTTCTAGACTTTTGTTGGGAGTTTTTGATTATCAATTCAATTTTGTTACTAGTTGTCGGTCTGTTTAGATTCTATTTCTTCTAGGATGTCCAAATTGTATTTCTGTAATGTTGCTTGTTACTTTCTCATTTCTATTTATTTGTGTCTTGTTTTGTTTTTCTTGATGAGTCACACCTAAGATTTGTCTGTGCTTTTTTGAGATTGAGATTTTTGTTTTTTTGACATAGCCCTGTATTGCTGTGTCCTCAAGATATTGGACTATTTTCATTTGTCTCCATGTATTTTTGTTTTCCTCTTTCATTTCTTTGTTAATACAGTGGTGGCTTAGCCGTGACGTGTTTGTGCTTTCTTCTTTTTGTTCTTGTAATTAATTTCTAGTTTTATTCTTTCATATTCCGAAAAGATGCAGGATAGGATTTCAGTTTTCTTAAGTCCATTGAGACTGGTTTTGTGACTTAATATTTCATATTAAAGACATATACATAACTTTCACCAGTGTTATGATAAACTTCATGGAATATTTAAGCAGCTAGTAACACTTTGCTATTTTAGGAGAATTTAACGCCTGTTTGTTTTTATTGAAAGATACAGACAGTCTTTTTGAACATGAATTGGGGGCTCTCAACATGGCTGCATTACTACGAAAAGAGGAGCGAGCAAGTCTTCTTAGTAATCTCGGGCCATGTTGTAAAGCGTTATGCTTCAGACGGGATTCAGCAATCCGGAAGCAGCTTGTTAAAAACGAGAAGGTACTGTTGTTTCCTTGGGAAGTATGAATGGCATATTTTTCATTTGATTGCTTTAAGGTGATTAAGGCCTCATTATCTGCTTTTTAGGAGTTTGCCTTCCTAGTCTTTTCCACATGGAAAAGGAAGAATAAGAGTATTGATGAACATTTGTGCTGAATAGCAATTTGTATTCAAACTTTGATGCATAGAGTTTTAAGTAGTCTTTCTGGGAAACATTTTCATTTGTGAAAAGTGCCTCTAAAATTTCTAGTATGTTTTATTATCTAAACTGAAAATCAGGGAAAAAATATTCGTGGCACAGAGTGGTGGGGATATTTATAGGAAGAAATAGTGTCTATGAGAATGTACCAAGCCAGAAGAAAGGGAAATAAACAGGTGATTATATTTAAGCATTTACTTAAGAAGAATAAAAGGAACTGAAACATAAAATAGAAATTTAGAATTAGAAGAGATCTAATCATGAAAAATTGAAAGTGTCTTTAAAAAGCCTAAAAGAGTTGGTTTAAAAGGTTGGAGACACATTCATTAGCATTTTACCTGGGGACACTTAAAAAAAATTACTAAAGATTATTCACATTTGCCGAAGAAATTAAATTCATGAAAAACAGAGGGATGAACTCAAATGCAGAGATTAAAAGCTTCCTATTCCTTGTATCCGTTTCCATTTTAAAGTCTTCCCTGGCTCAGAATCAGTTCTGACAGAGTTACTACAATCTTTCTCCTTTGCACTCCCATTTCACGTACTTCATACAGTCAGTAGTTTTCTCCTTGCAGCTTTTCTCAGTTGGAAATTTTCCTAAGAGAATTAAGCCCTAGTTAGCCCTAAAGCATGTAACGAATCAGCCTTTCTTTTAAGTATCTAGAATGGTACTACTTTTTTCCATCCTTGGGCATTGAATTTGAAAAATAACCCATCAGATCATTTTCTGTTGACTCCAGTAGGGGACTTCAATTGAAAAAGGCTGCATGTTTTGCAGTCTCCCCAGAATCCTGCCTCCTTTTTATAAAAAATATATTGTAACATTCCCTGGTTCCTCCTCTAATATGTCACAGAGCCTCTCAGAAAACACCCTTGCAAAATTCTCCTTGAGAGCCATTGTCAGAACCTTGTAATCCTTCAGTACAGGGCACAGACCATTAACTAGCATGTAACATGTTATCAGAAGTTCTAGTGGCACAGTATGAAGGTCTTAAATGATGCATCTGAAAAAAGCATTGCAAGCTTTTGGATTGCTCAGTGTTAAAATTTTTCACACACAACCTGAAAGAGACTCAACTGAAGAAAAATTAATTTCAGATACAAGAGAGCCTCATGAAAGAGGTTAAGAAAAATATAGAATAGGACCACTCATCAAGGAAAATGGTACTTCTTATCACATGATGAAAAAAGTGGAAAGCCAGTAACTCATATTGGCGTTGTCTTTAGAGAATTATTTTTAAAATATATCAGTTGTACTTACCAGAAAAGATAGTTGAAGGATACCAAGAGGATGCTTAGCTGCTTTAAATGAGCTGAATTCTCATTTGAATATTCTAGTATTAAAAGAATGTACAGAACCTGAGCCAAGCAGAAGGAAGTGATACCAAAAATAAATAGAAAAACAAATTCTGAAGAGATAAAATAATCCCCTACAAGTCTCAGATATTAAAAGGATAACATGGTAAACAACTATATGCACATAAATTTGACAATTGAGAAGAAATGGCTCTAAGAGCCACAAGCAGCAAAACTTCAGAAGTAATAGATAACTTGAATGGTCTTGTGTTTGAAACCATGCTCAGATGGTTTCACTGGCAAAATCTACCAAACGTTTAAGTTAGAGATAACACCAGTTCTACATAATTTCTTCCGGAAAATTGAAGAGACAGGAATACTTCCCAACTCATTTTATGAGGACAGCAAGTACTCGGATATCAAAACAACAGTAAGACACCACAAGAAAACTACAGATCAGTATCGTTCATGAGCATACACATTAAAAAACCTCAGAAGTTGGAGATCAAATCCAGCAATATATAAAAGCAGTACTACACCATGACCAAATACAGTTTATCAGAGTGAAAGGCTGGTTTAATATTCTAGTCTAATATCCTAAAATTATTCAATGTAATCCATATTTTGACAGATCAAGAAGAAAAAATGCCTAATTCTATCAATTGATGCAGCAAAAACATTTGAGAAAATTCAGCATTCTTCTACAATAAAAATTCTTAGTAAGCTAGAATTAGTCTTTACTTGCATCTACAAAAACCTGCAGCTAATATCGTAATTAATGGTAAAAGTTTGAAAGATTTCCTGGAGAGGTCAGAACAAGGCTTTCCATTCTCATTACCTACTCCACAGTTTCCTGGGAGTTATAGCCAGTTGAATAAGTAAAGGAAGCAGAAGGCATACAGATTGGAAAGGAAGAGGTAAAACTGTATTTACTTACAGACAACATGACTGCCTACATAAAAGTTTTCAAGGAATTTATCAGAAATACTCTTAGAACTTAAGAATTTAACAAGGCCACAGGATACAAAGCATGCACAAAGCAACTGCATTTCCATGTACTAACTTTATATGAAAGCAACTGGGAACGGAAAGGTAGAGAACAAATACTTTTTACAGTTGCTCCCCAGCAAAGAAGTACTTAGGTATAAATCTATCAGAACATGTGCAAGGTCTGTGTGCTGAGAACTATGAGAGCCTGATGTAAAAAAATCGAAGATGACCTGAATAATGGAGACATACATCATGTTCATGGATGGGGAAAAAAAAAAAAAAAAAGCCAAGCACTCCAGTGTTTTTTTTTTTAATGGGCAACATTTGGACAGTTCACCAAAGAGGCTATGTGGCTGGCTAATAAGCCCATGGAAAGATGTTTAACATTTTGAACCATTGGCAAATGCAGATTAAAATTTAAATGATACCATTGTGAACCTATTACAGTGGTTAAAAACCAGCAGCAATAAACCCCATAGTCAGGCTGCAGAGCATTCGAAACTACTACCTATTATTATTACCAGTGAGAATGCAAAATGGGACGGCCACCTGGGAAAACAGTGTGCTGGTTGGTTAAATGAATATTTACTGTATGACGCAGTAATCCCTGCTAGTATTTACTTAGAAAAATGAAAACTTAACATTCGTCTGAAAACCTGTGCACAAGAGTTTATAGCAGGTCTATTCATAATCTCCAAAATCTGGAAACAGCCCTAGTGTTCTTTATATAACGAGGGCACATCCATATAAGCGATTACTAATTTATAATAAAAAAGAACCAAACTGTCAGTACTATCAACAATATGGATTAATCTCAAAAGCAGGATACTGAAGAAAAAAGTCTCTAAAGATCATATAGTGTATGATTCCATTAACTTGGTGTTCTGGAAACGGCAAAGCGATTACAGAGACCGATCACTGATTGCCACGGGTTAGAGTTGGGGAGAGGGTGTGAATACAAAGGGAGTTTTCTGGATGATGAAACCATGATTGTGGTCATGGTTATGTCAATCAACATAGAAGTATAAACTCACAGAAATACACAAAAAAGGTAATTTGCTGTATCACATGTACATTTTTTAATGTTCATGAAATCAAGGAACCACTGTTCCTTTAAGGATCCTAGAAAGAAGAGAAATGGCAGAATGCCCAAGATAGTCAAATCTCACCTTCTTTCATTTATGAACACATTTGGAGAACATTTAGCAAAATTTTATGACAACTTCCAAAAATGCTAATGTAACTTTAAGTTACAATAATAGAGATACACATTTTAACAGAAGGGAGGCACGACTTTCTCTGTGTAGTGCAGTGATCAGCAGTCTTCCAGAGAATTTGTTCACTTCTAGAGCCCACGTTCTATAGACAGAACCCTGACAAACCAGAAAGGAGTGTGGACTGTTCAGTGCTTCTCTTCAGAGGTTTGAAAGGTTGTCATATAAAAGTAAGATTGAATTAGTGTGCAGCCCTATATATACAAGAGATTTTATTTCAGTGTGTTCAGAAATGTGCAGCGAATGTTGTTTTGTCATTGGAAATAAACTAGTTGAGTACCTGTCAGGGATTGTTGAAGCTTCCAACTTTAAGCAAGAGGTGGCCCTTAAAGGTTGCTTTCTTTTCTAGGATTTCTTGAATCTGAAAACATTTCTTAAGTTTGCTTTAAATCTGCATCCCAAATTAATATTTATGTTTGAGGTTAACTTGCCTGTCTTTGTCACCTAATAGTATACATCTTTTATAATTTGTTTTGTTCCTTTCCAATAGGGCACTGTAAAGCAAGCGTACACGAACGCTCCAGTGGTAGACAATGAATTACTGCGATTGAGTCTTCGGTTATTTAAGAAGAAGACCACTTGTCATGCCCCAGGCCCCGAGAAGGCTGAAGATCATAAACTCTCGCAGTCCAGTGTCCAGCAGGAACTGTGTGTGTCGTAGGACTGAAGTTAAATGACAGTTTTGGTACTCTCTTCAGGATTACACATTCTTTTTCAGAGTTCTTTCGTTAGACAAACATTCGCAACAGGCAGAAAAGATTTATCAGCCATGGTAAAAGAGTGAAGAACAACTTTGATCTAAAGTTTAAAGACACTAGTTTTGGCTAACTTAAGGTTTTACATAAATTTTTACAGTACTTGATACTCATGAGAAATAATGTGAAAACATCTAGATTTAGTTTATTCTGTACTTTTTGTTAAAACTGAAGATTTTGGAAAACGGTTGCCACTGTTCATGCAGCCTATGAATATTTTTTATGAAATGGAGCCACTGACTTATGTTCTGGATCATCCCTACAGAAACGATCTTGTTCAGAAACGGTGTGTTCACGGAACGAAGGCACACTGCAGTGCAGAGTTCTTGGAAGTGGATGCTGGTCCTGTGCGCCGTGGTTGTGGGCAGTCCTCCCCCAGGAGGGGCCACAGTACTTCTGTCCTTTCTAAGGTTCAAAAAAAAAATTTACTAATGGGTCTTTTTTTTTTAAATATATATGCATTGTTGCAATGTATATTGGATGTATTTGGATTCTAAATGTTTTGTTATCAGAAAATGTCTCCTGTTTTTATTTTTAATAAATGTACCTTTCCTTTCCTTGTTCTAGATTTACTTTGTTCTTCATTGATCTTATTCCTAATGTTCTGAAACAGTTGTCCTCAACATTACATATTTCAAACATTTTATTGCTCAAGTAAATGCAATAGGAGTTGAGGATAGACTTCAAGTACAGCTCAGTAATACTGGAAACAAACCACAAGTCAAACAAACCTATGTCATCTGAGCTTTAAAACAGTACCATCATATTTTTCAGAGCTATAATCTTTGATTACACTGAACTGTCTAGTGTATATGTAAAATGACTTAATTTTTTTTTCATTACCATATATCTGTTTATTCTGTGTATATATATGTAACTCATGAAGGGGACTCTTAGAAGGATTTGAAATGGACTCCAAGCTGCAGAATGTGTGGGCAGACAATCAAGGAAACCAATCAAAATTAATATTTTTTTCATTGGCTCTCACAGGTTTTTGCTCATACTGTAATGTATGCTACCTGTGTCAGTAGCTTTGTACCCTCTAAAGGTAACTGTTACTGATGTAAAATTCCTGCTCCTTTCAAGAACTATTTATTGTACACTTATATAAGTTATATAAGGTACGGACCCAGCAAAGGAAATGGGCTTATTTTCAAGTGACTTTCAAAAGCATGTCTAAGAAAATGGCAAAAGAGACGGGAGAGATGGGAGTATCAAGATTTTCCTGGTGTCTGTTTCCTTTTCCAGTTGGTAGATACTTTGAATAAAGAAGAAATTCCTTAATGACCCTGGAGAATAAATATCCTTTAAAAAACTGACTTCCTAATTATAGTAGATAATATCTGCTATAGCACAAACAGTTCAAGTCCTAGAACTTCTAATCCTGTTTCCCAGAAATGTGGAATATAACTGAAGATAATGGTTTTTCTTTACGAATGTTTCACAGGTTATTTATTTACAGAACGAAAACTATGTGCTTAAATTTGTCATACAGTCCATGTGTCGCCTTTTCGGATTTGAGAATCTTTTTGTTATGAAGGAAAATTTTAGAGCTATTCCTGTGCACCCTTAGTCACAGTAGGCAGAGTTTCATGTTCCCAGTGGGAATGTACCGATAAGTCTCAATTTTTAATTCACACATTCTATGCACTGCCAATCATATACCCTTAGAGTTTTTATTGAGTTTTCCATAAAAGATTTTGGACGCCAATTAAAAGTCTCCGTGAAACCAGTAGTCCTGAAAGCAACTGCTAGGCTAGAAATGATTTGATGCTAAAGTTGAAGGCGTGTTACCTCCTAACTGATGGATCAAGTCTGTCCATTTGCCGTAACTGCACACACAGCTGGACTCCAGCTGCTGGTAATAAATGGGCAAGAGAACATGTGCAATCCAAAATAAATGAAAGTCAACACATATTACTGAGTCAGTTTGATTTTTTTTGGCAGCGATCCTGACCATTTTGAAGAGGGTTATAGTGACAATAAATAACTTTGTGTTTCACAACCATTTTGTAACTATCCCCTACTTGTAAGTTAACATGCTGCAAAATCTAACATGTTGTTTCTCTTTGTTCTGTAACTGTGTGTTCTCTTCCTTATCCTCTACCTACCCCATGACTACACTAGGACTTTATGACCTCCTTTATTAACTTGACATTTTGTGCCATTGGCGGAATATCCCACATTGTTTGTTACAATCCATTTGGGTAAAGATTGAGGTTTATGTTATCTGCAGGGTCAGTGATGCTTTTAAGGCTCAGAAAGAAGAGCCAGCATCTGGACCTCAACTGGTTATTTAAAAGACATGTGTTTTCCAGCTCAAGATGGTAATATAAGGTGGATCCTGAAATCACCCTCTCTCCACAGACACACCAGATCTATGGCTACATACGGAACAATGTTCTCTGAAAACAAAAGTACTGAGTGGAGTCCTACACACACACTGGGCGGGGGAGGGGGGGGTACCATACTGAAGCAAGTAGGAGAAGCTGAGATAAACCCCATCCTCAGAGTGGAGACCCACAATCGGGAAGGAACTCCCAACCCTGAGCCTTTCCCCAAGGAATGAAGAATTTGAACCCCACACCTTGCACCCGACTTTTAAGACCTGCACTTGAGAGACAAGCCCACAAAACATCTTGTTTTGAAAGGCAATGGGGTTTCATCCCAGAGACCCCCCAAAGGGCTCAGGCCGATTTGTCCATTCCAGGGCCCACTAGAGGCAGCTGTCTGAAAAGGGTCCAGACTTCCTGCAAAAGAGGCTTGTTTATCTTAAAGTGTTGGCCTAATTTAATACACATCTAGGGGCCTACTGAAATAACCTCCAACAACGGAGGCCAGTGAGCACCATCTCTGTGTCATTCCTCTGCCTCATCCCAGCTCACTGGTATCTCCCAGGAAGGAATTTGTACACTCATCTGGCACCCCAAATTTTGTGGCTGCTGCTCAGAGGACACCTCTTCAATACTTGACTCTGGTAGCCAGTGGGGCTTATTGTGGACCTTCAAGGTTGTTACAGAATGGTTAAAATCAGAGTAATTAACTGCTTACCACCCCCAGGGCACAGCAGTGAGGCAATAGCACCCTTTCTGTGTAAGTGCCCTATTAACTTATCTTTTATAACTGTGGCCTAAGGACAGTCTTCTAATTAAACACGTTTAGGGCCAAATGTAATCCTTTGCTGAGACCTGTTAGCGGGTGGGAGGTGGAGGTTAAGGCTCTTCCACAGCCATGCTCCAGGCCACTGGTGCCTCCCCTAGAGGAGTTTGTACAGGTGTCTGGTGCCCTGGTTCTTATGGCTGTGACCCAGGGAAGCCCCTTGATTGCCTGGCACCAAGGACCAGTAGGGCTTCCATTCCTGGGTTTCCTAGCAAATGGAGGAACAGATCTTGGCTGGCTACTACCCCTCCTCCGCAGGACACAGTGCAGAGGCAGCAGTATAAAACACAGACCAATCTTTCTGTGCTAGAGGCCTATCTGTATCTGTACCGCATCTGATGCCCTGACTTATGTGACTGCTGTCTAAAGGACATCCATTTACAGCCTGGTTTTGGTGGCCAAGTACAGGTTCAAGAAACTGTAGTAAAGAAATAGTTCTTACCTGGCTATACCCCCATGGATCAGTGCAGAGGGAGTAGACAGAAGTCTTTATCTCCCAGTCTTCTCCATGAAGAGGTATATTTATATTATTTTAAGAGCTGCTGCCTGAGGGTCTGTTTCCCAATCAGCCTAAATCTAAGTGCTACTAAGATCTCCCACATTTGGGACACTGGTAGGTCTTAGAATACCCTCATCTACTGGGAACCACTAAAAACAAAGTAGGCTGCCTGGCAAGTCACAAAGGTTTGAGAGAATTGAGCTAGGGCACAGTTGAATAGTAGGTTTCATCTACACAAGACCAACCCTTCAAGATGGGGAGGGGTGACTTCTCTCTGTGCACAGAAACCAACATAGAGAGTCAAGGAAAATGAAGGAACGGAAGAATATGTTCCCAATGTAATAAGTGAATCCTCAGAAGGAGAAGTTAAGGAAATGGGGATAAGTGATTTCCCTCTGATAGAGTTCAAAACAGTGGTCATAAAGATACTCACTGAGCTCAGAAGAAGAATGGACCAAACATTGAAATTTCAGCAAGGTGATAGAAAATGTAAGAAAACAGCAAACAGAAGTCACAGAGCTGAATATAATAACTGAACTAAAAAATACAATAGAGGGGTTCAACAGCAGACTAGATGGAGAAGAAAAGATCAAAGGGCAATAAAACTCACCCAATAAGAGCAGCAAAAAGAAAAAAAGAATGACAAAGAATTAAGATAGCTTTAGGAACTTATGGGACAATATCAAGCAGAACAACATTCATATTGTAGGAGTCCCAGAGGAGAAGAGACAAAGGAGCAGAAAACTTTTTTTTGAAGAAATAATGGCTGACAATTTCCCTAACCTGAGGAAGGAAACACACATCTATGTTCAGAAGTCCCAGAGAGTTCCAAAAAGGAACCCAAAGAGACCCACACTGAGACACATTATAATTAGTGTCAAAAGTTAAAGACAAGGAAAGATCCTCAAAAGAAGTAAGAAAAGCATGCATAAGGAACCCATGTAAGTCCAAGCAGATTTTTCAGCAGGAATTTTGTAGGCCAGAAAAGCTGGTGTAATATATTCAAAGTAATGAAAGAAAACCTGTCAGGCAAGAATATTCTACCTGGCACAGCCCCTCTGGAAAACAGTGTGGAGGTTCCTCAGGAAACTAACAATAGAACTCCCTTATGACCCAGCAATAGCACTGCTAGGAATTTACCCAAGGGATACAGAAATGCTGAGGCATAGGAGCACATGTACCCCAATGTTCATAGCAGCACTCTCCACAATAGCTAAAACATGGAAAGAGCCTAAGGGTCCATCAACAGATGAATGGATCAAGAAGATGTGGTTTATCTATACCATGGAATACTACATGGCGATGAGAAACAATGAAATCTGGCCATGTGTAGCAACATGGATGGACCTTGAGGGTGTTACGCTGAGCGAAATAAGTCAGGCAGAGAAGGACAAATATCATATGTTTGCACGTATAGGAGGATTAGGAGGAACTTGACGGAGGAACAAGCGGGAGAAGAAGGGCGGAAATGGTGGGGGAAAGGGAGAGAGGCAAACCATGAGAGACTCTTGAATGGTGACAAAAACTGAGGACTGATGGATGTGGGGGGGAGGGGGGGATGGGCATGGAGGAGGGCACTTTGGGGATGAGCACTGAGTGTTATGTAGAAACTAATTTGACAATAAACTATTTGTAAAAAAAAAAAAAAAAGTTCAAAAAAAAAAAAAAAAAAAAAAATGTTTAAAAAAAAAAAAAAAAAAAAAAAAAAAGAATATTCTACCTGGCTAGGGGGCTCTGGCCCAAGATGGTGACATAGGAAGATTCTGAACTCACCAAATTACACTTATTTATGGGGCAGTTACTCCTAAAGAAGCCCAGAGGGCCAAGTGAACAGCTTCTACACAAAGGACCAGTGAAAGACAATAGCAACAGAGATGAGACAGGGCAAGGAAGGGAACCTCCACCCCTGATGCGGCGGACGGCAGCGGGGAGGGAAAGTACTGAAGGACCTGGAACAGGTTCCTCCCTCCTTGGGCACAAAAAAACCCATGGTTTAAAAAGAACAGATAGCATATAAAAGAGTACTTTAATAAACAAATCAAAGCACACCTAGTGGAGGGTTCAAAACATCACTATGGGTAGAGAGATAAAGTAACCAAAGTTACAACAACAGAGAGCAAGTAACATTCTCCAAAAAACACCTCCTGAAGGGCCAGGCCCTGGACAGTGTTATGACCCCTCTTTAATAGAGTAGTGCTCACAGGTGCAGGAAACATAGCAAGCTTTTAAAATACATAAGGGACAGAAAACTAGCCAAAATGGTGAAATGAAAGAATTCTCCTCAAAAGAAATTCCAGGAAGAAATGACAGCTAAAGAACTGCTCAAAACAGATATAAACAATATAACTGAACAAGAATTTAGAATAATAGTCATAAGATTAATTGCTGGACTTGAAAAAAAACATAGAGAGCAGACAATCTATTGCTGCATTGATCAAGGAACTAAAAAATAGTCATGATGAATTTTAAAAATGCTGTAAATGAGGTGCAAAATAAACTAGAGGCATTGACAGCAAGAATTAAAGAGGCAGAGGGAAGAACAGATGAAACAGAAGATAAAATTATGGAAAAAGATGAAGCTGAGGAAAAGAGGTAAAACATTCTGGATCACAAGGGAAGAATTAGGGAACTAAGTGATTCAATGAAACAGACCAATATCCTTGTCATAGGAGTTCTAGAAGAAAAGAGAGAGAAAGGGGCCAGAGGTGTACTTGAACAAATCCTATCTGAGAACTTCCCCAATCTGGGAAAGGAAACAGACAATGAAATCCAGGAGGCACAGAGAACTCCCTTCAGACATAAATTGAATTGATCTTCTGCACAACATATCATAGCGAAACTTACAAAATACAAAGAGAGAATTCTGAAAGCAGCTAGGGATAAACGCACCTTAACCTACAAGGGTAGACATTTAAGGGTAGTAGCAGACCTATCTACTGAAACTTGGCAGATCACAAAGGAGTGGCAGGAAATTTTCAATGTGATGAATTAGAAAAATATGCAGCCAAGAATCCTTTATCTAGCAAGACTGTTGTTAAGAATAAGAGAGATAAAGGTTTTCCCAAACAAAAACTGAAGGAATTCATCACCACTAAACCAGCCCTACTAGAAAACCTAAGAGGGACTCTATGTGTGTTGCAAAGACCACAAAGAACCAGAGACATCACTACTACAGATAATACAATGACTCTAAACCCATATCTTTCAATAATAACAGTGAACATAAATGAACTAAATGCTCCAATCAAAAGATATAGGG